TTGATTGGAGTGTTGAGGTCTGTTTTGATAGATCCAGGTATTACTTGTGATTTATTTGATTAGAGTAGGTCAGAGATTTAAACCATGTCATAACCATTGCATTCTTCATATTCTTTTTAATTTATGGATCTAAATATGTAGGATCAACTCGTTCAGTTACTCTCTTCAATGTTGGTGAATTGGAAGGTGGGTTGACCAGGGACGGCGTTCTCGGCAGTGAGACCCTCTCTCTTTTCACCGGAGCCAACGACCTCGCCGGTCTTGCCACCCTCGTCAACGGCGATGATCTCGATCACCTTGCAGCCGGTTGTCTTTTGCAGGTTCACAAGCATCTCCTTGAGGACGGCGAACTCATCGAACGGCAGCTTGCGGCTGAAGACGGTCTCGGGCTCCTCGCGGCTCTGGATAAGACGTCTCTTCAGGGTCTGGACGAAAGGCATGGCCTTCTTCATCTCGCCCATCTTGCCGACCTTGGCGTTCAGCTCCTTGTCGTTGATGGAGAGGTTGAGACCATCGAAGGCCTCGCGGACCAGGTCGATGTACTTCTCCTGCCACGAGGGGTACTTCTTGGCAGCGTAGATTGTGAGCTTCTTGGGCTTACGGGGGTCGTAGCCAGCGGTCTTGCCCTTGGAAGCCTTCTTGGCGAGCTGAGCCTCAGCAGAGGTGATGCTGGAGGAAGTGGCCCGGACATAGGTGCTGATGGCGGTCAGCTCTGGTGATTGCTCGGGAACTTCGGGGAAGCGAGCGTGGTGAATAGACTCGGGCTGTATTGTAGGTGACGTTAGTTATGCGTTTCCAGTGAGGTCGAAAACCACTAACCTTCTTCAGGATCTCGAGCCAAACGTATTCGGCCCAGTGAGGAGCAATGACGGCAAGCATGAGGGCTTGCAGCTCGATGTAGCGCAGGATCACATCACGGTGCATACCAACACCGGCTGATGTTGCGGACTCACGGTAGGCATCACGGGCACTAACCAGGTCGTACAGACCAGATTTCAAGGCGAGCTTAAAGTCGGTGCTACGGTTGTGTTAACACTTGTTCATCATGGGGTACAGGGGAGGAGAGTGATGGTTTGTAGCTTACTCTTGGTAGTGCTTCCGGGCCTCACGAACCAAGCCATTCATCTCGTTGTTGAAAATCTTATCCCAGAATGCATCCGCGGGGCCAGTGCGCAGGGTTTCATCCTTGGAAATCTCCTCAACCCATTCCTTGAGGGTGTGCAGTCTCAGAATGTTACTGTTAGCAACGGTCTCATCGAAGTTAGCATCCTCGATACCATCACCGGCATCGGCGAACGCAATACGGGTAGCGTCAGCACCGAATTTGTCAACACTGTCCTTCAATGTGAGGAAGTTACCAGTGCTCTTGCTCATCTTCTCGCCGTTAAGAAGCAAGTGTCCGTTCGCGCGAACACCGCGAGGCCAGTACTCCGGTGGGAAGAGCGCAACGTGGATGTAAAGGAAGAAGGTCAAGTGGTTCGGGATGAGGTCCTTTCCAGAAACTCTAACATCCAACGGGTACCAGTACTCGAATTCTCTGCGCATCTGCTGCAAACCTTCCTTGCTAATTCCGCTCTTCGAGATCAGCTCGTCGCTAAGCTCGCGTCTTGTGAATACATAGTCCCAGACCTCGTCGATCATCTGTTCAGCCTTCACGTTCAAGGGACCGAGGGTCTGACCGTAGCGGTCACCGTGCAACAAGTGGGCAATCGTATAGTAGGCCATGTAGACGGTACTGTCACTCAAACTCTCGACGAGGAATTGAGGATCCCATGGCAGCTTAGAGCCCAAACCATAGGTTCTCGCGCAAGCCCAGCGGTTGAGCCAGTCAAGGTTCTTCTCGAAGCCATGCTTGGTCTCGTTGGTGTATGTGTTGAGGGTGTTCACGACATGGTCCAGTGTGTCCTTTTGCCACTTGGCGTCGTTCTCTCCGTAGTTCAGGAACCATTGACCGAGGTATGCAACCACACAGTCATCCCCGCTTCTGCTGACGACCTCTCCCATGGGGTCGGCAAAGGGGAAAGCATCACCGCTCTCGTAAAGAGCCTTACGGATCTTGTCCTTAGCAGCGCTCACAGGCTCACCCTTGTACTCACCAGCGACCATAGTACCCTTGTAGAAGGCTTCACTGTATGCCAACTCCTTGGCCTTTGCCAGCTGGGTGACATCCTTAGGAGAGTTGATCTTCAGCTGCTTAACAAGGGCGGGGGCGGTAAGGTTGCCATAAGTTGGGGTCTCGATGAGAGGGAAGATCTCTAGCTCGGCCCACTCCTTCTGGATTCCATAGTACTCGGGCTTCTTGGCAAGATCAGCCAAAGTAGCGTAATCATCAGGGCTGTCAGAAGGCACAGAGGTGACGACACCGGTACCCTTGCTGGCAGAAACGCTTTCCATAGGCAGAATTCGCACACCTTCGGTGTGGAGTGAGAGTGGAGCGTTAACAAGTGTACCAACATAGGCGGATCCTGGAGCCTCCGCGACGATCGGCAACTGATCCTGAGTCTTGGGGAAGTTGTCACTGCTAAAGAAAGTGCCCTGGAAAGCCATGTTCCATGCGGCCCGCTTTGTGCAAACATAGTATTCCTTCTCCTTCACCTTGAAGATACCATAGTTGATCTTAGGGCCGAGGAAGCAGCAAGTCTGGCCGTACATCGTCTCTGGGCGCAGAGTAGCAGGAACAAAGTACACACTGGCGTCCTCCTCGATCTTGCCCTTGACGATCTCGGCAATCTGTGGTGCCCATTCCTTCACCTTCAGCTTCATAGCGGTGTATTCCTGGGGTCCGATACCTTCACCCTTGGTCCGGTCGTGGTCCATGCAAGGCTGCCCGTCCTTGGGGGAATAGATAGTGTAACGGCTACCGTACTGGATCTTACCGAGCTCATGGAGACGGTTCATCTGCCAGCGGACAAAGGCATCGTAGTAGGGGTTCGCATCAGTGGTGACCATCTGACGACGCCAATCAATTCTGGCGCCAAGGCTGTCAAGATCACGGATGGCCAGGGGAGGGAAGTGGTGGAGCCAGTGGCCAGCGTCGGCAAACTTGTGGATTTCCTCCAAGGGAATACCGATCGCCAACATGATCTGGAACTGGTACTTCATCTTCACGGTCTTGGCGGCGGCCTTGCTCTTCTTTCCGGAGAACTTCTCCTGTTGCTCGTTCTTGACTTCCTGGGTGGGGGCGGCAGGGGCCTTCTCCTCCTCCTCAGCCTCTTCCTTGTAGCCCTCGAAGTTCTGTCCGAATTTCTTGACCTCGTCGGAAAGCTTATCCGCGCAAGCCTTGATAGGCATACCGGTACAGTGGAAACCCAGGGGGAAAAGAGCCCTCTTACCGTCCATGCGGGCAACACCGGCCATGAACTCGACCTTACTGGCAGTGAAACTGTGACCTGCGTGCAGGGTACCGTTCATGTAGGGGTAAGCCATGGTTCCGAAGAACTTGGGATACTTCTCACGGAGCTCCGCGGCGGACATGGAGCCCTCAGGAACCTCCTCGAAGGAGGGAGCATCGACCTCGAAAACCTTGTTCTCCTTCCATTGCGCCTGGTATTTCTTCTCGATGGCGATAAGGGTATCTCTCTTCTCGGTCTATTTCGGGATCCACCAATTAGCACCGCATGGACAAAGAAAACCGGGGGGGAGGAGGGGTAGGATATAGAAACATTTTCGAGTTTGAGGGTGTTTTTTGCGCCGGCGCTCGGGTCGAGCGCAGCTGCGGAAGCAGCAGCGGCTGCCATGGCTCTTAATGAATGGTTTGCTGTATTGCAAACTCAACTGAAGAGCCCTGAACGGGAGTGGATCAAAAGTGGTTGTTATAACTCTGCCGCGGGGTAAGACTTTATCGATGTTCTGAGTCAAAAGATTATGTGGGAATCGGACCCCGGCAGTACATCTCTCACCGCCTGCTACATTCATCACAGAATCAATACAACATATCTCTACTATCATTCAACCATGAGTCAACATGGGAGCAGATCTTGATCGTTGCAAATGACTCATAGAGGTGGCTTTTTCATTTATATCAAAATAAACTATCGTTCGATAAGAAGCGCATTGAATGGCGTGCACGTCAGCAATTGGTGCGAGAGCCAGGCCAGATGTATAGTCACATGACCGCCTATCGGACCGTCTCAATCTTTCCGCCGACAGGCCAAAAATCGAGATGAGCTCCGAGCAGCACTCCATCCAATTCCGCTCGGGACTGTTGCAGCTAATCGATCCCCGGGTCGGCTAACTCTTGCAATCTTTTAAATCCCCTCTTTCAACCGTTGCTCTAAAGTTACTGCGCGTTGCGCCTTCCCCGTCATCATGGTGAACGTCTTCAAGCGGATGCGGAAGCTGAAAACCGTAAGTTGGCAACCACAATTGCTTGCATCTAAATGAATGGCAGAGGCTGACACCAGGTTTTAACCATTTACAGAAGGTAATGCTCGCAATGAACAAATCTCCTACACTACCATTGCTCCACCTTTCCGGCAAAGTCGTGGCGGCATCCAACGCTCAACTCTATCTTGCAACGACGACAACAGGGGAGGCCCGTTTATATCAAGAAGCGCACGATCTAACTTGGCTTTTCAACAGATCCTTAACGTCCGCGTGGGACCCGGTGCCGCCATTCTTCCTTCTGCTACCTCTGCGACCCAAGAATTCCCAGCCATCACCCGTCTACACCTCACATACGCCCAAAAGATCTATGGCGGTCACCAAGGCGCACGGCATTTCTGGCGCAACTGTCTTCCCCGGCTCAAGTACCACAACCCAGGTCTTCAGATGACCGTGAAGCAGACACAAGAACAGGAGGGACCGGCAGCCTTGACGATATACTTCGCAGAGCGCGCGAGCAACGCCGCTTCGTTGACCGCGGCAAAGGTCGAGGATAAACACGCCCCAGCGCCGGAGTCAACAGAAAAGACAGCCATTCTGGATGTGAAGAATCTCGATTACAAGGAGATCTGGAACAAGGTTAAGATGGTGACCGGGGCCCAGGAAGTGCCTGCTACTCCCGAGGAGGAGGCGGAGCTGCAGAAGCTGGAGCAAATGCGTCAGCAGTCGGACAAGGACCGGGTACGGCTAGCCGCTATCCGCCAGGCCAAGAAGGACCAAGAGCGGATGTTACAAGAGGCTCGGGGAGAAATTGAGAAGCTGAAGCAACTGTAAGTCTGGTAAAAAACTGTTTGGGGTTGCGGGAAGACGCCGGGCATGATCAACTGTAGCATAGCCTTTTTTTTCCTTTTTTCTATTTTCTTTTGAAATATGTAGTTCTAGGTGTCTCTTTTGTGTTAAATAATGGCTTAACTTTCCCCTGTGATCTTGAGGGATAGATACATCGTCAGGATATCATCAACGCAAAGACAAAGCAACGAGCCCTTGTGTATATCGGGCTCATTGTATACAACTAAGTAGAAACATGCGTCATATCAGAAACAACTTTCCCATCCCAAGCCCTGTATAGTCTCCATATTCAAATGTCCCACTCATAAATAACAGGCCAAGATACAATACCCGTACGCGAGCCTAAACTCCTGAATACCCACAAAGCGCGCGCCACCTGTCAATTCAAGCATGATCTGGCGTATAGCTCGTCTCGCCCAGCATGCCCTGGCCTGCTGATACAGTCGGTGTTGCAGTCTGGGTTTGGCCTGATCCCTGCTGGTTCAGTGGAGAGGGGGAATGCGCTCTTCCAGCAGCAGCAGCTTGAAGTCTCTGATCCAAAGCCTTGAGAGCCAATGCCCGTCTCCGCTCCGCCTCTTCACGCTTAGCCGCCCCCCTCGTTCCTCCTCTCTGGTTGTTAAGAAGAGTGGGAAGGCCGGCCTCCCCTCTCGCAAGAACTTGTTGGTTGCCCGATGCAATATCCTCCTCTGAAAACGGGGTGCAAATCTTTAACGCGACCAGCAAAGAGTAAACCTGCTCCGAGACAAACGAGATTGGAGGCTGGATTACGTCCGGGAAGAGACACGCGAATGCAAACGTCTCACTTGCGTCTCCCTTGAAGCCTAAACCGTCGGTAGATGTACCGGTCAAATCCGGCTGCCGTTTGAAGAATCGAAGGTAGGTCCAACTTGTCAACAGGCCAAGCCAGGAGAGTATTGCCGCCACGTGTGTTCCAAATATTATACCGCTGATCGTGTTTAGCAATAAGAAAAGCGCCGGGAAATGCTTCACCCGCATCTTCACTAGGCCTTTCAAGATAGTCACAGTATGCTCGGGAACAAGTTGCTTGAAAGCCACAAGGAAGGAGGCCTGGATCGATATGCCACCGCATATTTGGGTTACGCTTGGAGACGGGGAGTCAGTAGGGAAGGCGCAAGAGGTTGTGCATTCGGTATCGGAAAGCAAGCCATACCCGCTGGTCGAACCACCTCTGATGGTAGTTCCTAGAAGATAAAGGGGCACAATCGTTACATTCGGGATCACCGCGATGGCCAGAATGAATTTCGCAAACTCTCGGGAACCCCAAGCGCGCTCTAGGTACTTGCCCCCATAGAACAGGGTGGCGCCGTTCAAGAGAACCGTAAAGATATTCTGCTCCACGAAAGTCGCGGTAAGAAATGTCCAAGGGTAGTAAAAGAACTCGGATGGGACGAGAGTCAGATAGGGTACAACTGGAGTGGTCAAGGGATGGCCCCCCGTAGCATCAATTTGCCGCCATCGGGCGATATTGTACAGGAGGGAGAGAGTGAGCAGGCTGATGAGACAGGTACGGGTTGCAGGAGGGATATTGACTCGGAGCGCCATTGTGGGAAACGAGCTCTTGCGGCTGCTGGTGTCCACGCAGACCGCAGGCTGTCGATAAAGCCCGACTAGGGGATTAAGTGGCCGAAGTTGGTGTTGATCAATCGCAGTTTTGGAGTGGATTTCGGGCCAAGCAGCACTTCCGCCTTGGGTTTGGTTCGTTGTTTGACTCTGATCGATCGCGTTTATTTGATTGGATACCCTATTTTGCACATCCGCCCGGGGAAATAACAAAGGTGACCTGAGGCACCATCTTCAGCCTTGGCGCCTAAGGTATACTTTTCCAACGACCGAGGTAAAGGGGGTCTGAAAAGTTATGATTTGTGTGCAAGTACTACGTACTTGTCGAGGTGCCAAACTCTTCAGGCGCTTAAAAAAAAACAAAAAAAAAAACCATTCCAAATCATGTGGCTTTAAAGTTTCAAACAATAAGCCCATGTCTGACATACTGCCACCGTTTTGATTCAGAGCGACCATCAGGTCATCTCTGACCATTTCGTCTTGGCAAGGCTAAGACTTGTCGCTCTGAAGCACCGTGTATTCCAAGGTATTGGGCAGAGGAAGAAATAGATGTCATCGCACAATTCAGTGACAGCGGCTCCAGTGATGGTGCGTGATTGGTGCAGTCACCTACATTTATGAATATCCATGATCTACTCAGTGTATCAGTATGTAAAACATGGCTTGGCTAAAGTCTTTTTGAATTTTAATGGTAGATTGTCACCCCGATGGTTCCCACAGGGAATTGGAGTTTGGCTCCTTGAATGAGAGCTATTTGTATCTTTTGGAAATTCAGATCTATGGAACGAGCTTTTTCCGTCCTCTTTCCGTCCAATAGACCCCTAAGGCGTAATTAACCAAGCAGGCCGAGAAGATGACGGTAATGTGGAACATCAAAGGTCAAAGGTGTCACAGGTCACCATGTGGCCGAAAAAGGGCTAAATTGACATTGCAAGCACAGAATGGGAAAGAAAGGAATGGGTCAGGTCTCCGCCTGTTGAACGCATCCGCCAGATGCCGCCCTAATTTCTTATTAGGAAGGAAGAAATATTAAAAAGGAAAAATAATAAAAGGACCACTAGAAATTCCTTGAGGAACCCGATCAACATTAGTCATTGAATTAAATTCAATTTAACTATTAGAGTAGCTCCGAGGATCTGGCAGTTAGTTATGCCAATTTTCCTAGTAGTAATTACTTATATTTAACTATTTGTACCTTTGCCAATTTCATATGGTTATTGTTGGTCCCATAATTGTTATTGTTATATGGCCTTGTAATTTCAGGTCGGTCTGATCCTAAGCGCTTGGAAGAACATTCCTTGTTTAATTTAATTCAAATTTTTGGGGGAGCGCAACTAAAAGAAGGATAATCATGATAAAAAAAATTAAAAATTAAAAATATTGCTAAGGAAATAGAAATAGAATGTCCGTTAGGTAGGTACACTACTAGTACTACTGCGTGGCCCTGTGTAAATCACACTGTAATCGACCCGCAAAACGCTAGGTCCCGAAGCAGACAAGCGCACTGGCCGATCATTTGCCCGTCAGAACCACCCAAGGGGACCGGTGGATTTCCCAACTGCACGCTAAGTCGTGGGCCGGACGCCACAACGAGTCAAGCCAAAAGTCCAGGTCGCCAAAGTCAAAATCGGGCTTGACTGCGAAGTGACTGGCAAAAGGGTGCCGGCTTCCTCTGAAACAGCGTCCCAGAGCCGCCTGGAGAAATTCCACTGAGCTTTTTCTTTTTTTTCCCACTCTCTAAACTCAACTTGGCTTGTTGGTTCGAGATTTGAAGACTGCTACCTCACTTCTTCCTCTTTCATTTCACTTCTTCCCTACTCGCAGTCACGACAGCCATCCGATCAGTCTGCCTGTACCTTATTATTACCCTGCAGAAGTGGTGGTGATCATCATTCCTTGACACACTTGCCCTGCTTTCCTTTTTATTTTATTTTTATTATATTTTTTTTAATTACCTTTTTTTTCCCACTTGCTTTTCGCCGTCCCCATTCTGGAGTCCAGCCCTCCAGTTTGTCCACCCCCCTCCCGTAACCGTACTGGTACAGCTCCAACCTTTGCAGTTCGCTAGCGGGTCTGCTATCTCAAGCCACACGTTGGTGTCGATTTCGACCCGTCTCGATATTCATTCTTCACTTTCTCTTTTCAACTCTTGCGGCTTCTTTTCCACAACCCCCTTGTTTAACGCTGTTCAAGGGTCTTATTCAAAGCCTCACCAATCCTCAATCTACCCTTTAATTGACGATCTTACCCCCCGGCATTTCCACTCCACCTTAACGCTCTGCATTATATCCCATCCCATCCCCTTCAACTACGGTTTTCCTTGTCACGCCTTGGCTGCGTCCGGCCCAGTTTTGGCACTCACGCTCTTTCCGACGCCGAACTGGACCTCCGCCCTGGCGGTCTAGAGAGCGAATTCTGTAATATCAGCAGACAGGTCCTTCGGTTTACACGGTCCAATCTCGCCTATATCTCGGGATTCTCGCATCTTTCAAATTCTCGATCACCCACCGTTATCCTTCTGCAATTTGTTTAGCGGAGGTTCCTGTTATTATTCCTGGCATGCTAGCGGATCCTCCACCTTACTAGCTGTCATACATGTAACAATGTCACATCCTGATCTTACGTCGCATCATGTCAACTACCTAATCTGGAGGTGCGTTCTTAACTTCAAGGTTCTCTGCCGACATTCGAGTGCAGGACCTCTGATAGCTCATGATCCCCCCTGATGTCTATTTTCCTCGTACATGTCACTGACTTCTAGGCTCCAGGTATCTTCAAGAATCAGGTTGGTTTGAACCCGTCTCTTCTTCAATCCTAATTCTCATTTTGTATTTTGTATTTTTATTTTTACCCCCCCTCCTTTTTACGCGTTTCTCTGCATCCTCGCTTGACAGGACTTGAGGTATCCGGCAACGACCAAGATTCTCATCTAACCTACATCACAGGTCACGGTGAAGCCGCAGTGACACTGCAGCGCGCATGGAATCATGACCCACAGAGCTTACCTTTCGCTCCCTATATAAAAACTCATGCGTTGGTGTCTTTGGTACAAAAGGGTCTCCAATATCACGAGCTCGAACAATCACTCGATAAGGCACGTTACCTTGCTCTGCCGGATCTATTGTCTTGGTTTCCGGCGGATCCTTTTTATTCTCTTTTCAATTAATGTCTTCTAAGAATATCTGTCTACCAACGACTAATGAGTTTTTACAGGATGGGAATCTGAGGCCCTTTTCACCTTCAGATTATTTCTTTGGACCCGCCGTGCTGGAAGCGGAACCGCGGAAAAGTCAGGGTGGCCCGGGTGAAAATGGCACAGACCAGGCGCCTGTCTCGCCCACGAGTAAAGCCGCGGGCGACAGCGTGATCAACGGTCACTTGACAGGCGAATCTGCGACACCTCAAGTTGTCCCCAATGCTAAGAAAAGCCGTAAGAGTGACCGCGCAGAGACCAACGGGGACGAAATTCCAATGGAAATTGATTCAAATGGTGTTGCCAATGAGACGAAATCCGCAGTAGCTACATCACCATCCTTGGCCGATGCTGTGGATGGGGATGGGGATGTGAGCATGGGTATCCGACCGGACTCGCAAGACCAGGAACCAACCGCGGCGCCGACTTTCACCTTGACCAACGGCCACAGCGTTGGCGTCCAGATCACCCCCGCCAAGGCTGCCGACCTTAGTCCCGATACCGCCGTCTTGAATGTGGCTGATGATTGCCACGTGACCCGCGCATTGTGGCGTCCAAACGATTCCACAGTTGTCGTTGCAGTCGGCGAGTCGTTTTGCAGTCTATGGAAAATGCCGTCATCTACGAGTCCAGTGCAAGAGAAACTTGTGGAGGGTAAGGGTGATAGTATATGCGTCTCTGCGGTCGCCTGGGATCCTACAGGCCAGAAATTGGCCGTAGCCACATACAAGGACATGAGAGGGTCAATCACTATGTATGATGTCGCCGGGAATGCTGTTGACCTCCTGCCCGAAGTACCTAGAATGATCACTGGATTGCATTGGACCGAGAGCGGCACCCATTTGATCGTTGTGGCATCAGATAGTAAAGTCTCCGAGCTGGCTCTCTGGGATGATTCATTGCGACCGGACGAGTTTCCCTCCCCACAGGTAATCGACGGGACAATCTATGACCTCAGCTGGCTTGGGCGCAATGTAGCATACGCTTCGGGTAATGGAATGGTCTACCAATGCGATGTCGACTCGAGTATCCACATCTCCAAGACATATACCAGTGAGACCGACAGGCCTTGGTCATTTATTCGTTGCGCAAATGCCAATTCCTCCTCGGTTGCCGTGGCTGCATCGTCTGCTGCAGCCGCTTTCTGGATCCCGACGCACGACATGCACCTCGATGGTGCACACGAAGGAGCTATCACGACAGTGGAGCTTAAGCCAAACACACTGGAGCAACCACAAACGAACCAACCGTTGGTTCTAGCCTCTTCATCCACTGATGATACAGTTAAAGTATGGCATATTGATCTGGACGCAAAACGATTTGATTGCATTCATCGTCTGTTCCTTGGTCCATCTTCACCCGCCCTCGCCAGCAGTTTCTCTCCGGACGGCTATGCTCTGGCTGCTGCAAGCAAAGACAAATTGTTCATCTGGAATTCGCAGAGGGGTGGCACAGCAATGGCTACTTGGACCGTGCCTGGGGCCGACGTAACAAAGATCGAAGAAGGACAGAACCACCTGGCCAATGGACACAATGGGACCGCCGAACCAACGCTGGATCGCTCTCTTGCATGGGATACTGATGGTAAACGACTCGCTTTTGGCTTTGGCAAGCAGGTATGTTGTCTATCGTACCCAATTAGAGATAACAGGCTGACTGAGATTGGGTAGTTGGCTATTATAAACATGCAAAGTTGAGACTTTACGAACCGCGAAAACGCAGGAATATCTAACTACACCTTGATGATGCACTCGTATGCGCTCTTACAACTTTTTACTACATAATTTGTGATATCCTCGTCAACGAATGCAATCGAAAACTCTACCTTACCTTTTGCTCTTGGTCCTCTGGATCGTTTGCTACTAGGCCGCCTGATCGACTTTCGGCCATGTCATTCCTCCCATTTATGTGCGGCTAGGTGGAGCGCAAAACCAAAGCCGATCAACAACTAGCAATCAGCGCCGCTTCAGGAGGTTCTTGTTGTGCTCTTTCTTCTTTCAGCATTCTAATTTATTCAATAACCATTTGGTTAGATGATACATATCGGCGCAGACTCGGGGTTTTCAACAGAAAAGCAGTCAGTTGCGGTTATAGTGGGTTACGGTGGGCACATTGGCGCATTCTATTCTCTTAATTCTCAACTGTACCATTGCTTCTTGGTCGGCATGATTACTGAATATCAGAATCTTCCTTTATTTTGGGTTTTGCATCAGTTTTGCGGCAAATCCTCGGTCTCGGTTTTCTTACATCGGAGTCGCTTCCAGCCGAATCTAATCCCAAACCCGGCAACTCAGCGTTCCCAGGTCATATGATGGGTTTTCCTATGTGTTATCCGCAGAGTTTGTGGCTAATCTAGTACGCCTTTGCCTTGCTTCCCTTCTTTCTTGCCGATCTCTTTCACGAACGCGGAAACCTTCTTCGACATCTTTCCAGCCACGCATCCACGCGGTTATGCCCTCTAGAAGTGCTTCTGCATCTGTCTCATAGCGCTCTTCGGGCTTACGCCTCATCCACCGCTTTCCTTTATTTTGTCGCGATGCTCCCGGTTTACGTTCGTTCTGCCATCCGTTAACCCACGCCTCGAGTCCGCAAACCGTACCGTGAAGTGCTTCACGCTCTGCTGAGCCTTCCATTATGTCTGTTTCCCTGCGACGAACAAAATCACGCATTAGCCCAGGATTGAAAGTGACAGTTTGGTGGATATTAGCTTACAGCTCGTGGACCTCATTTTCCAGCTCCGATACCCGTCGCGACAGGCCTCGGCACTCGCGCCTGAGAAGATCATATATTTGGGAGGATTCTTTACGGCGTTGGTTTAAGTCGGTATTTAATGCGGTTACTTCGTTCAAAAGAGCTATGAGTTGCGAGCTCGAAGGGTCGAAGGCGGATGAAGCACGGCCCTCCATCGGGACAGAGCAGGAGGCTGCGGAAGCCACAGGGTGTGAAGTTTCAGGGTAGATATGCGTGGGTCGGCATTTGACGACCTCCTGGGTGAGTTTTGGCCGCGGGTCCAACAGGGCTTCCAGAGTGTTGAGGCACTGGTGGACCGTGGTCGTATCCTCACTTGACACATCGGCGTTCTGCGAGACCATGTGAGCTATTTTGGCAAGCCGCTGTGGCAGAGGCGTTGCGTCCTCGCCCGCGTTGTGGACATCCGAGGAAGAAGTAGGGCGCGACATATCCGTCTCCCAGGTGTGTTCCGGAAGGGAAAGCGGAGGTGAAAGCTGATCCAAGTGAGCCGGGTACGGTGAACTCTCCATGACCGATTACTGTTTCCCTGTATATATTGGTACCTTCTTGTGCTATTTGGCCGTTCTATTGCATATGTGTGTAGATAAGTACACGGATAGGAATGTTGATTTGCTGCAAGTATGCAAGGGTACAGGACGTAGTGTATAGTAGTAGTATGTTCCGAGGTGTCTGGCCGTATAAGAAGAGCGTCGGACAAATGGCAACCTATCGAATCTCCAAGGACAAGGGTAGCAGCGACTGAACCAAACCAGTCATGTATTATGGGACCTTGGGAAATCAGTCCGTTATATAGATTAGATATATAGGTATAGAATGAGAGCAGGTTGTTCCCAAAAACGCCTGTGCGCGACCGATTAGAATGGTACCAAATAAAATGCGAATGAGTGAACAGGCGAAAAGGTTTCTTTTGTCATAGTCCGAGAGGAAAGGCTGCAGAAAAAGACGGTCAGATCATCATTGCCAATTGATAATAATAATGCTCAGCCGGGAGACTATTCCGTATTGGGCTTCCCATGGAAAAGCAAGCGCCGGCCAAAAAGGTTTCCTGATAAGTGACGGAATCAAGGAAAAAAAAGAAAAAAAAGGCAAAAACAAAAAACAAACAAGAAACCGCAAAAGAAAAAGAAAATTGAGATCTTGACTGATTCAAACGGAGCCTGTTTTGCTTTCCTCCTTCTTTTCCAGTTGTGAGGGCCTCATCAGCAACGTTGCCGCATTGATTTAATTTATCTGATTTTAGCGATTTCGATTTACCTTTTATCTCCGCTCTCTCCATCCAGTTTCACTTCTACTCTTCCACCTCCCCCGCATACAATCGACTCCCAATCCATTGGCACCGTTAGATTTGATAGGATGGCGCCCCCTGTGAGTATCTTATCCTAACTATCATTTAATTTCTTTTTATTCAGTCTTCTATACTCCCGGTTTGAATAAAACGACCTTGTGCTAATGCCGCCGAATGGTATGACTCAGATTACTGTTGTGCCGTCGCTTGAGGCCGCAAAGGATGTAATTAGCCACTCGAAAGATGCTCAATATCCCCCCAACCTGCTCCCACTTACTGCGTCTATCCCCGCCGACTTGTTGACACCTACAGTGGCATATCTGAAGGTTGCAGAGAAGTGAGTTCCGATTCCAGAGCCCCCCCCGCCCCCTCTTGCCTCTGGCGGGGTAGCTGATATGGCCAACTCTTGCGCAGATCCAAACTATCATTCCTCTACGAGAGTGCTGCGACCACGGAGACAATTGGGAGATATAGTTTTGTGGGAGCTGGTATGCATACTTGCCCATCATGACCACCTTGCTGGACCTACTATTAACCTGTGCGTTTGCGACGCGGTGAAGATCCCCGAAAAGTTCTCAAGACTGGTCCCGGCCACGGCCCCGAGTGTGATCCTCTTCCGATCCTGGAAAGAGAGATCGCTGATTACCGCGTTGCGACAGTACCCGGCTTGACGCTACCACCACTCACGGGCGGTGCTATTGGTTACGTCGGATATGACTGTGTGAGGTACTTTGAGCCCAAGACGGCCCGCCCTCTCAAGGATGTGCTCGGAATCCCAGAGTCGCTGTTCATGCTGTTTGATACCATTGTCGCATTCGATCACTTTTACCAGGTCATCAAAATCATCACCTTCGTTCCTATCACACATGTCGACTCGGATTTCGAAACCGAGTACCGGAAAGGCGAAGACGTGATCAAGCGCACTATTGAACGACTCCTCCGACCCGAGACCCCGCTACCTCCCCAAGGTCCAATCATTCCCAACCAGGAGTACACATCCAATATCGGGCGCGAGGGGTACGAGCGGCACGTGCTGAAACTCAAGGAGCACATCTCCAAAGGCGATATCTTCCAGACTGTGCCATCCCAACGGCTGTCTCGCCCTACCTCCCTCCACCCATTTAACCTCTTCCGTCATCTGCGCACAGTCAACCCTTCTCCATACCTATTCTACATCGACTGCGAAGACTTTCAGCTCGTTGGTGCTAGTCCGGAGCTTCTGGCGAAGGAGGAAAAGGGCCGTATCATTACCCATCCCATCGCCGGCACTGTCAAGCGTGGCAAGTCGCCGGAGGAGGACGAGGCGCTCGCAGAGGAGCTACGAGGCAGTCTAAAGGACCGTGCGGAGCATGTCATGTTGGTGGATCTGGCACGTAACGATGTTAACCGCGTGTGTGACCCGACCACCACTCAGGTGGACCGGTTGATGGTGGTCGAGAAGTTCTCGCATGTGCAACACCTGGTGTCACAGGTATCGGGTATTCTGCGGCCGGATAAGACTAGGTTCGACGCGTTCCGGTCCATCTTTCCCGCCGGCACGGTCTCCGGGGCGCCCAAAGTGCGGGCTATGCAACTGATTGCCGAGTTGGAGGGCGAGAAGCGCGGAGTGTATGCTGGCGCGGTGGGCTACTTCGGATACAACATCGCCAGCACGGACGGAGCAACAGAAACGCCGGGTGCTATGGATACCTGCATTGCACTCCGGACGATGATGGTCAAGGACGGGGTGGCCTACCTCCAAGCAGGTGGTGGAATTGTCTTCGATTCGGACCCGTATGACGAGTATATCGAGACGATCAATAAATTGGGCGCCAACATTGCCTGTATCAAGGGGGCGGAAGCGAAGTATTTGAGCATGGAGGGAGAACAATCATAGACTCAAAGCGGTCTCTTAGCTTTCTTTTCTTTCTTCGGATTCTCTTGTTCCTCTTTGTTGATAGGGAATTGAATGACGATTACGATCTAGAGCGATGGGAAAACAATGAAGTCCTTCACAAATTTTGTTTTATTTTATTTTCTTCTTTTTGTTCCTTTCATCCCAAGTTCCCACACTCTGATTGGATCACAGGGTGTTATGGGGATTCATGTTGCGAAGGGTATTTACTACTCAAGCTAGGTAAGGAAATGTCGGCACCGTCTTAGTTAAGTCGGAGTGCCTGAACTGAACTGACATAGCGGGCTCAATGCACCTCTCATGTTGGACCCATTGGTCACAGGCCAGGGATTCTCCATTGGAAAACAGAGTTGTTTATGATTGCCCCTTAGATAGGTGATTGAATATCCTCCTACGGGGTAGCAAAGCTGCGATATGTCCTTGGATATTATTACCTGTCCCTGCCAATGATGGATCATGGCTAACTGAAAGAGGTCCTTGTCTCGGGTGATCCTGGGTCTGCGATGCTTTTGTATCACCCAGGAGTCCATATTCTTCGTGTTGGACACTCTATCTGCTATTACGACCAGATTAATTTCATTGATTGATTGGCAAAGCACTCAGCCTTGTAAAAAGCGCCACTTGTGTGTCAATTCTCTCGAGCAGCATCACCTTTGAGAAGAAGTATCGTATTCCGTCCCCTCCATCGCAACCTTGACTATCTCGATGGCAAGCAGAGTTGCTTTTCTGATCCCCATTTCCTTGCCCATGATATCTAGTTGCCTGGCAATCCACATCGTCTACTCCAGGCTTCTCCAACATTCTACCACCCCAGCCACGTAAATCGGCCACAAGACATGCTTTTACGCCAGCATGTCGGGCAGAAAACGGTGGGGCTCCACTGATCTGGCGAAAAATAGAGCTGATCCTTATGGTGATGCACATCCTATCTCATCTCAAGGGACCGTGGCACCAATGTTGCTAAAGTCCATGTTCTGCAGACCCAGACCACACTTAGTTCCTAGCAGGGTGACCGCCCTGGAGTGCAAGCGCCACCACTAAACCCGGCAATGATGAATGCTTCACTCTCCTCGGATGAGCCTGCCAAAGCGCTCCAGCTGATGGCGCGCATGGCGCCCTTCAATCCCCCACGACTGGCACCACGGGTGCACAAGAACTATGCTATGCGCCTATACGTCGCATATACTGGGTACCTGTGTCTGATGGCGTCAGAGGCGCTGTACCCCTTGTACAGACCTTCTGGCAGCCAGGGGCTGAAGCTAACGCTAGGGTCAGATGAGGCGTATATCATGACCATTAAGCAGCAAGCCGCCGTTGGCGACAGGAGGATTCTGGAGCCTCACTGAGTACAACTCCCAAAAGTTCCTGATTGATCGCCCACTCGGGAGGTATTCCGTCAGGGATCGGACTGATCTCACCTACCCGGACAGGACTCCTGTTTATGAGGATTGAAGCAGCAATGATGATGGTAGTTTTCAGGTTCTGATCCAGCCCGCGGATAAGCGGCCGCCGGCGAATTGGACGTCGAAGTGAGCTCTGCCTTGCCTTCTTGGTCAATTTGCTGGCTAGTCTCAAGACTAACTTGTCCAGCTGGCTTCCAATTCAGTCTGGTGGAGGGGACTTTGAGCTTGCTTGTGAGCGAATTTTTGTCATTTCTACAGGCACCCCGAGTAATGTCAAATAGTGCGATTCTATGAGCCCGGACAGCCATTGCAGCAGGGGAAGTGGGAGTATCCCACGATACAGAAGCAGATAGCCATGGTTTGACTGCGAAATATCAGTAGTAGAGCGCGCGGGTTCGGCTGTCTCAGGTATCTAGTAAGGCTGTTCAGTAGTTAGATTCATCCTTTACAGATTAGACATGTCAGTCACAAATATCGAATATAATTCTCAAGAAAGATTATTATACACTGGAGACGCGGAAAGCGCGTAAGGTAGCATTACGCTGGAGGCCGGACCAATAAGTAGTAGTATCGGATGAATGAGCACAAGTGTTCATTAAATTAAATGGATGTACAGAAAGAACACTGCTGCCTAAGCGGTACCAATCAGGCTCCCATCCTGATACCAAATTTCCCTCAAGAAGATGGATAGATTCAGTGGAGGAAAGTAGGTTCAGTTTTTCTTGGGTGAACCGTCAAATTAAGGCTGTCTGGGTTATAAAAAATATAAAATAAAATAAAATAAAAGGAGCAAAAAGCACGATGCCTTATGACGTCGTTGGTAACTATTGGCATTTCCGAGTATCTCTGCACCGCCACAATACTCGAAGTACGGACAGTACGGAGTACATACATCCACCCTTACCCTCCGGTATGAATCAGAGAATG